TCTCTCTCTCTCTCGAACAACGAATAACATTTTCACTTTTTAGAATTGAAAAACAATATATGATTATTTACATCTTAAGAGAATATATAGTTTCTAGTTTTTACCATATATAATTTTATTTTATATATATTGGAGGATATATTTGTGCCGTCTGTATATATATAGTCATGCGTTCTTGTACACCGTGTGTGTGTATAAATTATGTTTATGATACATTTGATTTTTTTTGTTTGTTTTTTGTTTTTGTGAACAAACAGAAATACAAGACCAGGTGTACGATGAGAAGCAAAACACAGTGACAATCAAAGTGGTCTGCTGCTGCGACCCTGAAAAGATGAAGCAAAAGATACTCTGCAAGGGCAAAGCAGTCATCAAGAGCATTGAGATCAAAGTCCACAAAAAGAAAGAAAAAGAAGATAAGGCTTCGAATACCGAGGACAAGGACAAGAAGAATGCAGATGAAACAAAAGATAAAAATCAGCAAACAAACCTACCTCCACGTCCTGTTCAGCTGGTGCCTTGCGTGCCTTTTGTGCCGGTATGCCCAGTTCCCGGAGCCGGCCCGTTTCGTCGCACGTGCTGCAGGGAATGCTACGAAGGCCGCGTCGGTGGGCCATGCTTCGAAGGTTATGATAATAATTGGGCAGCTGGCCCGTTTCGTCGCACGTGCTGCAGGGAATGCAACGAAGGCCGCGTCGGTGGGCCATGCTTTGAAGGTTATGAGAATAATTCTGGACCAGTACCGTCATCTTCTCAGTGCGACTGCTACTGGAGAAGGCCAGTAGTTTGTGATAGTTATGGTGGTGGGAATATCTACTTCCATCCCCCTCAGGAACAGTGCTCCGATCCAGATGCTGGATGCCAAATTATGTAACACTGTATATAGTACTACTACGCCATGCTAGACTCGGTCAAAGCAATTGTTGGTGGCTAGCATGCACGCTGTTGCTTTAAGCTAAATCTTGTAGTTTCGATTCTTACACACGAATAGTTGTCCCTCCAACTATAATTAGTACTATTGTGTTCCACTATGAAGGAAAGGGGAAAGCGAGTGCTTAATGAGGAAGAATGTATACTTTTGTTTCCCCTTTTGTTTTCTTTTTTTTTTTAAACGACTTTTGTTTCGTTTTGATTGGGACGTACGTTAGTTAAAGAAAGTATTTGAATAATTGCTTTCCAAAAGTTTTTTTTAGGGACTTTTCTAGTATTTTTTTTAAAGACACTGGTGTTTTGTAATTTTTAATCGTTAAATTTATATTAAAATTAATATATTTTGTATATTTTTTAATTTGATATGATTTTGATAAGATTTATTTATTAAAAAAATAAAAAATAAAAAATATTAGTGTTCTCGAAAAGAAAAAAACACCGAAGAAGCTCTTTTTTTTTTTTT